CCCCAAAACCCCAAAACCCCAAAACCCCAAAACCCCTTGCCTTATTACTAATATTGAAAATCAATTAGCTTATTTCGACTCTTTGAGGAAAGTTTCAGTTTGCAAAATGAGGTTGCCAGTGAGATGCCAGGCTTCAAGAAGCATGGTCTCTGTCATAAGCCAAAGAAGGCAAACAATAAGGCTTTAGGTTTTAGTGTGGAAGCATAGATAGGCGGAATTTAAAATATACGATTTATTCCTAAATTTATTAACCAGAAATGGAGTTGGATATTAAGAGGATACATTATTGTCGCTTGGGTTGACTTCCCATAAGGTAGTTCCATATTTACTCTGCCTTGGGCTAGATAGAAATTTATCACTTCTAGCATCTTATACCAAATATAGTTAAAGTTAAGGAATGCGCTCTTCCATTTCATTGCGACCGCATACAAATCGTATGTTCTGGCTGCCTCTAGTTCATCGAAGAATATTCCGATGTATCTCTTGACTCTTTTGACGGTGATGAAAGCCTGCCAGTGAGTATTATTTTTGGACACTCCGATGTACTTAGAGCGTCTTTTCAAAGTAGTGTCTTTGGATCATCTCCTTTTCTTCATTGAACATTTAAAAGATGCTTCACTATTTGTGAGCAGGTAATCACGAAGCTTAATAATTTTTGCTTTGATGTTGAGCTTTGTAGAGCATTTCCTTCTGTTAATGATTCCTTTGGCGTCTCCTAAGGTCTCTTTGTCATTTTCACTAAGTTCACTAGATTTTTGAGTTCCCTTGTCATGGGCTATTTGTCCATTCTCTTGACTCTCATGAATCGTTTGCTGCTGAGCAGGTTTGGTTGAGTCTCTTTGTATTCGTTTTCACTTCTATATGGTTAGTGTCATACAAGGACTCGACCACAAGCAAGATGAATGAATGCTTCGGTACATAATCACTTACTCTTGATGCAGGTTTCTTTGTCAATGCTCTGATATTGAAGACTTCTGAAGATCTCTGCATTCACAGTCTCAATTATTTAATTGATTCTCTTAAGCAATTGGGCAGCACTGCCTGGTCTGCTCCATCTGCTGGAGCACAGTCTCGTAATCCCACATCGGATGGACACTCTGATTTATGTATTTTCGCTTATCCTGGCAGAACTAGTAAATATTGTGAGAAAGATTTAGAACCCAATCGAAGTATAAGTAGATTTTATCCACTGAAGATCAAAGAAACATGAAATATTTTGAGACAAGGAGTTCTGTTATTTGTATGATCATTGATCCTAAACTAGTATCGATGCAATAACTATATTTAAGCCATTAGTTTTAAACATGAGGATTATCTGAGAAAATTTGAAATTTGAGATTCAGCCAAATTAGTAAGCAATAAAATACTAAAGCATCCGAGATTGATGACTCAGGACTTTTGAAAATGTTTGCTTGCTAGCAGCTTATTTAACCATAAGATTGATGGCTAAATCTTTTGAATGATTGAATCCTGTTGAGATTAATGATGAGACAAACCAAAAGTAAATATTTTGGTATGTCCAGACTTATGGTTTCCCTATTATTTTGAATTTATACAATCATTGACTTTAAACATTAACATTGAATTTAAAGACAATGATTATTTTGGTGACCAACCATTTTTGTACTTGAAGCTAGGCTAGTGAGAAAGACGAGAAAGTAGAAAATCTTTCACTACATAGACATACCAGATAAAACATGATTCGATCATAATTTTCAAAAGTAGTCTTATGAGTACCAGGCCTGAACACTCAAAAATTATCTAAAATTTAACAATAACTTTGTCGATTTATATCTTTTACAAATGATTATTGTGTAAATAAAAATTAGGCATAATTTGGGCCACTCGGCAACAAGTTGCATCTTTAAGACTTAGTTAAGGAACCAATGGAGCTCAACAGCGAAGTTCTACAATCATGTTATGCTTAGTTTAGATTTCTTAGAGCTTATCTTTGGATTCACCTATTTCAGGATCTTCCTCAAGAAGACTTTAATGAGAGTATTTTCCACCCAAGTTTCCCATTAAATAACTTCCAAAGCCAGGGCCTTCCTTTATGAACCTGAATTAATTTTGTTAAGCTAGTCCCACAGATCTTCTAGTAATTTTTTTAAGTGTGAAGGGTTAATTCTCTATGAGGTATACTAAAAATAAAGTATGCTTACATTGAGTTCTGGATATGAATCCACATAAAAATATTATAAACTACAAGAAAAGTTCTATTTTCACCTAATAAGTTTAAGATATTTTTAACCAACAACGAGCAATTTCTTAGGTTTCTTATCTTAAAAATACTTTATGAATAGCAAAAAGGCTTAGTCTGTAATTATAAAGATCCATCACCAAGAATCCCAATATTCCTAAATTACCCAATAACTCAGGCTTCCTTCACCAAGTTTTACTTGGTCAGTACAGTTTTCCTCAAAGGTGAAATCCCTCCAATCACAAATAAATCCTACCAGCCTCAGAAGACCCAACCCCACCCACCCCAGTCTTATTCCCTTAACCCTAACCTCCAACCCACTCAAAGGACTGACGCCCAGTCATACTTGGTTCAACAAGAACTTATTATACAGCGCCCACTCGCCCTGATCCCTTGCTGCCAGCCTTCGCTTCCGCAGCCAGAACCCTTCTCCCAAACTTCGTGCTCGGCTGCTGAACTGCGCTGGCTTCAGTGGGGGAGGGTTAGGGTGGAGAGCAGAGGAGAATTTGTCAGGGAAGATTTTGGGGTGGATTGAGGGTTTTGAGAAGACAGTATCCCCAATGTTAGTTGTTAGTGTTGGGGTTGTTTGGGATTGTTAGGGGTTTTGGGGTTTTGGGGTTTTGGGG